CATCTGCACACCCACAGGCAGGGCAAAACTGGGGCCTGGAGACCTCGCAGGCGGGGACCCCGTGCAGCCGCACGACCAGAGCCAAAAATCTTCACGACCAGAGGAACGGCCCGATGGTGCAAGCACGATTTGGAGAAGATACACGAAAAGCTACGGGAACAGAGCGAGAGAGAGGAACGATGACAAAATATAGAAAAAGAGAGAGAGAGAGAGGGAAGAGGAAGAGGATAGGAAAGATGGAGAGAGGCGCGAAACACACAACAAGAGAGAGGGTGGTACACATATACACAAACATACACCTATAATATACCTATACGACCACCCTTTGGGTGATAAGGAGGTTATGGGGGGGGGAGGGGAGGGGGAACCAACATCTCACTCAATCGCTCTCACTATGGATCTCACTCAACGGGATACCACAAGACACCTCGGGACATCACGGGACACTTGTCGATCTCACTATCGATCTCACTCAACGGGACACCACGGGACACCTCGGGACACCTCGGGACACCACGGGACACCGCGGGACACCGCGGGACACCTCTGGATCTCACTATCGGTCTCAATATCGATCTCACTATCGATCTCACTCAGCGGGACACCATAGGACCATAGGACACCACAGGACACCTCGGGACACCACATCGATCTCACTATCGATCTCACTATCGATCTCACTCAACGGGACACCACGGGACACCTCGGGACACCTGTCGATCTCACTATCGATCTCACTATCGATCTCACTCAGTGGGACACCACGGGACACCACGGGCTCCCACGGGACACGGGACACCCGGGACACCCGGGGCACCGCCTGGCCCAACTGGGACACCTCCCGGCCACCGGCGGACGGGGAACGGACTTTCGCTCCTACTTCGGTCTAGCTACAGGAGGATCACGCGCAGCTTCGCCTCGCCCGCACGCACGACACGAACACGAAACCGAATCCGATTTCCCAGTGGGGGGTCTCCGTTTCACTGCGATCTCACCCCCCAACTTCCGACAAGATGGGTATACTATATTTTCGGGTCGGACGCGTGCCTCCAAGGAGGACATATAGTATCAGTATGTCCCTGTGCGTCCCACCATACTTTAATCTCCCCGACGTCATGGCCCCCTCTCTCTCTGTTTTTCTTCTTACTATCACCACAGCGACCACAATCATGAATCATGGTGTGTCTTATTCTCACTCGCTCCTTTACATGTCTTTTTAAAAACTATTCCCCAAGCAGTGCTTGCACTAAAGGGGTCTTCCCCGATATTGAATGATTTGGTGAACGTCCTGGCCAGTTTCGGTAGGCAGCTGGGTTGCCGAGTTCCAAGTGTTCCCGGCTCCGGGTTCCCGCCGATTTCGGGTGGGCGACTGGGTTCCCAGGTTCCTGGTTCTTGGTTCCAGGGTTCCCGCCAGCGTAGTGAAGGTCGGCTGGGATCCCAGGTTCCCAGTTCAGGTGTTCCCGGCAGTGTAAGGCTGGATAGGTTCCTGGGTTCTTGGTTCGGTGGGCGGCTAGGTTCCAAGGTTCCCAGTTCCAATTTTTGGGTTCCCGGGGTCAGACGGTTGCGAGCAGAGTTGGCCATAGGGATTGGAGAGAGAGGGTATGTGTGATCTTGTGTTAGATACGATATTAGAATGTGGATGCGGAGGTACTAGAGATATATTCTATAAGCATATCAGAGCAAAAAGGCGAAGTTGGGTATAGAGAGGGAACGAGAAAGAGAAGAGAAAATGAGTGAGATGGAGAGAAGCGAAGAGAGACAGAGAAAACGAGAGAGAGAGAGAGCGAAATAATGAGAGACACGCGAGCATTGTATATATATATATATATATATATATACCGGCGGGCAACCGACGGGACAACGTGGGCTATCGCTTGACAAGGCCGGGGGGGAAACATTTATGTTGGCGGACCCCAACCGACAGCAGAGTGAATTCCTCTCGCTGGCCCACGCAGCTTCGCCTCGCCCGCACGCACGGCACGAGCACGAACTCGAAACTCGATTTCCTGGTGGGGGGACTCCGTTACACTGCGATCTCACCCCCCAACCTCCGATAGATATATATATATATATGTGTGTGTATATGTATATGTATCCGACGTTGAGCGGTGAGAACGGAGGTGACCCCAACCGGGATAACGGCTTCGATTTCGGTTCGTGTCGCGCGTTCGGGCGAGGCGAAGCTGCGCGGGCTCCTGCAGTTGTAGAGGCCACATGGAGCCCAAAAGGTCGCCCGCCCCCCCCGCCCCCACCCAGCCGGGCGCGGCCCCCGATAGTTGTCCCGCGGGTTGTCCTGATAGTCTTGATGGTTGTCCCGATGGTTTTCCCGATGGTTGTCCCGACGGTTGTCCCGATGGTTGTCCCGATGGTTGTCCCGATGGGCGTCCCGATGGTTGTCCCGATGGTTGTCCCGATGGTTGTCCCGTGGTTGTCCCGGTGGTTGTCCCGACGGTTGTCGCGATGGTTGTCCCGATGCTTGTCCCGACGGTTGTCCCGATGCTTGTCCCGATGGTTGCCCCGATGGTTGTCCCGATGGCTGCCCCGATGGTTGTCCCCATGGTGGTCCCGATGGCTGTCCCGATGGGTAGGCCGATGGTTGTCTCGATGGTTGTCCCGATGGATAGTGGTTATCCTGATGGTTGTCCATGGGCGTCCCGATGGTTGTCCCGATGGTTGCCTCGATGGTTGTCCCGATGGTTGTCCCGATGGTTGTCCCGACGGTTGTCGCGTATGGTTGTTCCGATGCTTGTCCCGATGGGTAGGCCGATGGTTGTCCCGATGGTTGTCCCGATGGATAGTGGTTGCCCCGATGGTTGTCCCGATGGTTGTCCCGATGGTTGTACCGATGGTTGTCCCGATGGTTGTCCCGATGGTTGCCCCGATGGTGTCCCGATGGTTGTCTCGATGGCTGTCCCGTTGGTTGTCCCGACGGTTGTCGCGATGGTTGGCCTGATGCTTGTCCCGACGGTTGTCCCGATGGTTGTCCCCATGGTTGTCCCCATGGTGGTCCCGACGGTTGTCCCCGGTGGTGGTTCTGATGGTGTTGTCCCGATGGTTGTCCCGATGGTTGTCCCGATGCTTGTCCAATGGTTGTCCCGATGGTTGCCCCGATGGTTGTCCCGATGGGTGTCCCGATGGTTGTCCCGATGGTTGCCCCGATGGTTGTCCCGATGGTTGCCCCGATGGTTGTCCCGATGGTTGTCCCGATGGATAGTGGTTGTCCCGATGGTTGCCCCGATGGTTGTCCCGATGGTTGTCCCGATGGATGTCCCGATGGTTGCCTCGATGGTTGTCCCGATGGGTGTCCCGATGGTGGTGTCCCGATGGCTGTCTGGATGGTTGCCCCGATTGCTGTCCCGATGGTTGTCCCGACGGTTGTCCCGATGGTGTCCCGATGGTTGTCCCTATGGTTGTCCCGATGGTTGTCCCGACGGTTGTCGCGATGGTTGTCCCAATGCTTGTCTCGACGGTTGTCCCGATGGTTGTCCCCATGGTTGCCCCGATGGTGGTCCCGACGGCTGTCCCTGGTGGTGGTTCCGATGGTGTTGTCCCGATGGTTGTCCCGATGCTTGTCCCAATGGTTGTCCGATGGTGGTCCCCATGGTTGTCCCCATGGTGGTCCCGACGGTTGTCCCTGGTGGTGGTTCTGGTGGTGTTGTCCCGATGGTGGTCCCGATGGTTGTCCCGATGGTTGTCCGATGGTTGTCCCGATGGTTGACCCGATGGTTGTCCCGATGGTTATCCCGATGGTTGTCCCGATGGTTGTCCCGATGGTTGTCCCGACGGTTGTCACGATGGTTGTCCCGATGCTTGTCCCGACGGTTGTCCCGATGGTTGTCCCCATGGTTGTCCCCATGGTGGTCCCGACGGTTGTCCCCACGGTGGTGGTTCCGATGGTGTTGTCCCGATGGTTGTCCCGATGGTTGTCCGATGGTTGTCCCGATGATTGTCCCGATGGTTGCCCGGATGGTTATCTCGATGGTTGTCCCGATGCTTGTCCCGATGATTGTCTCGATTGTTGTCCCGATGGTAGTCCCGATGGTTGTCCCGATGGGTGTCCCGATGGTTGTCCCGATGGTTGCCCCGATGGTTGTCCCGATGGTTGTCCCGATGGTTGTCCCGATAGCTATCCCGATGGTGGTGTCCCGATGGCTGTCTCGATGGTTGCCCCGATTGCTGTCCCGATGGTTGTCTCGACGGTTGTCCCGACGGTTGTCCCGGTGCATTGCGCCATGGTGCACCAGCATGTACCGAAAACAATTACGTCACATGGCCACCGCCCCCACACCATCCCGCCATCACCAGCACCATCACCGCCATCACCACCACGACCACTCACCATCATCACCGACACGACCAGATAGATAGATAGAGATAGATAGATAGATAGATCCATCTATAGGGAAATAGAGAGATACATAGCTATATAGAGAGATCGATAGAGCATAGATAGATAGATGATAGGTAGGTGGATAGGTACGTATATAGACAGACAGATAGGTAAATAGATAGATAGATAGATAGATAGATAGATAGATAGATCGGAGGTCGAGGATATGAGCGGAAGGTTGCCCCGATGGTTGTCCCGATTGGTAGGCAGATGGATAGACTGGTTGATGGATCGATTTGATAGAGAGATTGATTGATTGGTTGGTAGATAGACAGGAAGATTGATTAATGTCGACTCGATAGACAGATAGATAGATACATTGATTGATGGAAAGATCGGAACCTGGAAAATAAATATATTAGTTAGATAGAAACAAGCGGAGGTAGGTGGTAGTTATTTCCCCGCGCACTCTTTGGTAGCGGCAGGTAGGAGTCATCGCACATCGGCCGCCTCCCCATTCCCCTCCTTATCACCCGTAGGGTGGTCCTATCGGTGTGTATATATATGCTGAGCACGAAATGATCTAAAGAAAAACAAGATGTACAAAGATAGAGAGAGAGAGAGAAAGAAAGAGAGGGAGCACTTATGGCAATGCGTCGCACGACGTGTCCTTTTCCTCATCTGCCGACAGCTTCCTGAATGATGAGGGAGCGCGCGGTGAATGCTGGTGATCTTGACGGGCTGTCACGTCAGTCGCCTACCCAGTCGTTCGCATTCAAGCTTGTCGTTAGCCGGCAGCCGCGCTGCCAGCGCTGGTATGGGGCCGGGGACGGACGGCAGAGGGGGAGGAGGAAGAGAACCAGAATAAACCCAAGATTCGTCAACGACATTGCAATAAACCTTACCTCCGAGCTCCCTCTCCATAGACACCTAAAAATCTGTGAAGTGCCCCATTGGAAGACAACCGTTTGACAATCATAAAATGTGCCAGAACACCGTTCCTGGGACGCCAACGCCGCAAATCACCGTTACGGTTGCGTCTCAACGATCCTGGATCGTGCAAGAACGCCGTTCTTTCAATTTCAACACCGCGAATCGAAATAACTTGTTCGACATAGCTCTTGCGCCCTGGCAATCCTACATCGTGCAAAGACACCAAATCTGGAACGCTAGCCGTGAAAATCCTAGTCAACTTCCTGTGAACTCTTAAGACGCATCTGCGCGGCGGCAAAGCGAGAACCTCATGTTGAAAAGGAACCGCCCTCGATCCGCGAAGCCCTTGCAAAATCAAAACGACTATGCGCGGCGCTGAGGCGAGAACCACATTGTGAAAGCGGACCGCCCTCCATACGTTCTTGCACATGTTTAAAACGAGTTCGCGCGGCGCTCAAACGAGAGCCATGGTTTGAAAGCGGACCTCCTTTCATCCATAAAACGCTTGCACATGTTTGAGACGAGTGTGCGCGGCGCTCAGGCAAGATCCACATTTTGAAAGCGGCCTGCCATCCATCTGTGAAACTATTGCAAGTTTTAAGCCCAAGGGACATAAGTGGTGAGGAAATATCAGGCGAAACGCCCAGCCCACCCTACCAACACGCCTCGGGGTGCGACGGGAGAAAATAATAGGAAAAGGAATGGAGGAGGGACCAGATATGGAAGGTAAGGAGAAAGGGGGGTGGGGATAAGGAAGAGCAGGAGGAGAGGGAGCAGAAGGAGAGGGAACGGTGGGAGAGCAGCAAGCATTTAGGGTAGGAGAGGGGGGGGAATCTGCGCTTCAGTATACTGCTAAGGGTACAGTCCTTTCTTCCCACACTCGTTTCTGGCCTCCTTCGTTAACAAGCGCCGATGGCACCTCTAAAAATGCCGACGGTGTCCACCAAGAACATACAAGCCTCAGAGGGAGTTTCAAGGAAGAGGAGGAGGAGGAGGACAATGAAGAGCAGGAGGAGGTGGAGGAGTAGGAGAAGGCGGAGAGGCGACGGAGGAGGAGGAGAAGAAGGAGGAGGAGCAGCAGCAGCAAAATGAGAAGGGAGGAGGAAGGGTAAGAAGGTGGAGGAGGAGGAGGAGGAGGAGGAGGAGGCTCGTATTTTCTTGAGGCCGTTCTTTCAGGCGGTGCAGCTTACGTATTGTTGTTTGTTATGTCCCCTTCTTTGCTAACGCGGGCAGATACAGCCGTTCACTCTGGAAAAGGCGGGCAATTCGAGTCGGAGCTCTTCTGGTCAAATCACTGGGGCTCCCCCCAAAGTTAAATACTCTCCGAACCCCCACCGCAGCAGCTCATTGTACGGAATACCGCGGACGTGCGCTTCTTTGCTAAGCAAGCCCTCCTGTTTCACTCTCAACCCTCCCTGCTCGAGACTCTGACGGCTGACGCGTGCACTGCTAGACCTCATCTTGCTCAACAGGTTTGCAAAGAAGCCAGCTGGGCCCAGGTTTAAATTTCTCAAGTCGTGAGACTGGCATGCCTGGTGGCCCTTGGAGGAGGAACGTTCTAGGTGTCTGTGAATGTCCTGCAATGGCCAGTCAACGCGGCCCATGGTCGGATTCAAGGGCCTTACTGCCATGCGAGAAGGGGTGATGGATACCACCAAGCACCAGTGCCACAAAGCTTGTTTGTTGTACCTTGTCTACTCTGCTCAGTTGGATCACGTGCGGTGCTTATACACAAAGTCGCTACATTCTTTTGGGCCGAGAACGCCCGCTCTGCAAGCCCAGCTGAGCGCAGACGACTCTCCACCGCATATGGGACCCTCACAATCAGGGAGAGTACGCCAGGATTTCGCAAAGTTTCTGACTTACGATGCCTCCACTCCTCCTCCCGCAGTGGTAGGAAGATGGTAGACCTCATCCAGAGGCCTTGCATGACAGCGATGCTGAAGCGTAGTCAAGCTCGGGTAGCTGCCGTCATCGCACCAGAGCGTCAGTAAGCCGACCGCGGTTTCCTCGGACCTGCGCGCTGGCTCACAAAAGAAAAACATCATCATCCCCCTGCCCCTCCACAGCTGAACACGTTGGAAATATTATCCCAGGCCCCCAAGTGTCGACAAAAGCGCCCATGAGGCGTTCGAGAGACCCCAGGAGGCCCTTTGCCTCTAGCACTGGTTTCGCACAATGCTGGCAACAATAAAAACACCGAGTCCGCGACCCACCCAGCGACATTGTCTCCCGACGCAGGCATCATAAGACACTGGGGGGTAAGCTGCCACCACACAATCACTTCCCAGACCTCGCGACCACCCTTTTTGCGTCGGCGGCTGGGCAGAGGTTACTGCTCCGGCGATCGGGCATCAGTGGGGCGCGCTAGGTGCAAATTGGGCCGCAGTGCACGTGAGGAGAGGAGGAGACCCCAGCGCGACGGGACCTCGCGACTACCCACCAACTAGGCGCCGATGGAACGAAAATCACGACGTACAGTGAACAATGTAAAGTGTAGGTGCCCTGCCCCGATGCTTACCAATGCTGGGCATGTCTTCTGACAGGCTATCCCTCTTTTCTCGCACCATATCTCCAGTACTCAGGAGCTCTGGCTGGACGAAGGCCAAACGAGCGCAGCACCAGAACGAAAAGTGGCGCCACACAGCTCGACGGCGAGACCCCAGCCCGATGTTGCATGCACTGGCGATGTCGCAAGGTGAGCTGCGTCATAGACAGACATGCAGCAAACCCTCAAAGCACAGTCAGACCAAAACACCAGCGGCGCGGCCTGGAGTTATCCAGTGTTGCAGATCTCTGAACACCGAGAGCGCAAAACAAGGAAATGCAGAATAAAAGAAAGAGAAAAGGAGGAGAGGGATGATGATCTCGGCGGGCGAGAGGGTTTAGGCTGGGACACCAGACGGAGTCTCCCCCCACGGACACACCACAAGCACGTCTCACGGCGTGCCCGCCCAGCGCGCAGTGCCTCATCGAGAAGAAGTCCACGCAGGAGCTGTGCCTCGAGCAGCTCGACGCGCACGGCGACCATGCGGCCATGTGCGAGCGCCGGCCATTCCGGACCCGCCGCCACGACGACCTGGAACACGTCTACGCGGACATCCTCGCGGAGGCGGGCGGATACGTCCGTCGTGAGACGTAAGCTCTCCACCAGCCGCGCGGAGGCATGGCTGGACGACCGGGCCTGTGGCGCCCCAGAGCCGCCGGACTGCCTAGTCGACATCACAGTCCAGCATCCCACGTCTGTCGCCTGTGAGGCGGTGGCTGCGCGGGAGCTCGGGAGCGCGGCGCGCGCGGCCGAACGCGAGAATTGGCGAGTCCGAAGGAAGTGGTTTGCAAAGTGTGTTGTTTGCAACTGGCACCTGGGGGGAGACCCTGGGGGGCGGGCGGGGAACTCGATAGAGCTCTCCGCCGCGCCCCGAGGAGGCCCGACGAGGACAGTGTCGCACCCCCCAGGCCCCAACGTTGCCGATCGCAAATCACACCCCGGCGTAACCATACCCTTTGTAGTCACCGAGAGAAGGACGACCGCCACCCGCCTGCTAGCGGCTGGGCGGTCTGGCCTGCCGCGCCCTCGGGGCGCAAGTGGAGGCCCTCCTGGAGCAATGCGCGGCGGCGCATGCCAGGCGCGCCCACCTCAGGGGCCGGCTGCCGGCAACGCCCTTCGCCGCTTGCGGGCGCAGCTCGACGCGACGCTGCTGCGAAGCGTCGCGGCGCAGCTGCTGGCGGCCTGCTGCGGGGTGTCCTTGTCGCCCTCGCGGGCGCGCGGCCCCGCTGTGCGTGCGGCGGCTGGGGACGCGGAGCCCGTAGCAGGGTAGTTTTCCTGATCACGCTTTTTATCACCTCCTCCTCCTCCTCCTCCTCCTCCTCCTCCTCCTCCTCCTCCTCCTCCTCCGCTCCTCTCCTCTCCTCTCTCCTCTCCTCTCCTCTCCTCTCCTCCTTCTCCTCCTCCTCCTACTCCTCCTCCTCACCACCAGGACCACCATCACCATCACCATCACCATCACCATCAACGTCACAATCACCATCACCATCGCCATCGCCATGACCATCATCATCAGCATCAACATCAACATCATCATCATCATCATCATCATCATCATCATCATCATCATCATCATCATCATCATCATCATCACCATCATCATCATCATCATCATCATCAGCAGCAGCAACATAATCATAATCATCATCATCATCATCATCATCATCATCATCATCATCATCATCAGCATAAGAATCATCATCATCATCATCATCAACATCATCATCATCACCATCATCATCAGCAGCAGCAACATCATCATCATCATCATCATCATCAGCAGCAGCATCAGCATCATCAGCATCATCAGCATCATCATCATCATCATCAGCATCGTCGGCATCATCATCATCATCGTCAGCATCATCAGCAACAGCAACAGCAGCAGCAGCATTCTCATCATCATCATCATCAGCAGCAGCATCATCACTATCACCATCAGCATCATCAGCATCATCAGCATCATCATAATCAGCATCATCAGCATCATCACCATCATCACCATCACCATCATCATCCTAATCATCATCATCACCATCATCATCGTCAGCATCATCATCATCATCAACAGCAGAAGCATTAGCATCATCATCATCATCATCATCATCATCCTCATCAGCCTCATCACTATCATCATCAGCATCAGCAGCATCATCATGATCATCATCCCCCTCCTTCTCCATCCCTTTCCCCACCCAGACGTGTCAGTGGGGTGGACCGGGCGTTTCGCTTGAGACTTCCCCACCACTAATAATCTTCAAGCTTGACATGTGCAACAACTTCACGGATGGAGGGCAGGTCGTTTTCAAAATGCGGCTCTCGCTTCAATGCCGCGCACATTCGTCTTAAAGTTCGCGACAGCTTCACCGATGGAGGTGGGGCCGCTTTTAACATGTGGTTCTCACCTTAGCGCCGCGCAAATCCGTCTTAAAAGTTTGCGACAACATCAAGAATGGAGGACGCCGCTTTCAACAAGTGGCTCTCGCCTCAGCTCTGCGCACTTGCGTCTTAAAAGTTGTCGTTCACAATGTGGCTCTCGAATTAGCGCCGCGCACAACCGTCGAAAAGTTTGGGACCGGTTCAAGGATGGAGAGAGGCTCCTTTGCAAAGTGTGGCTCTCGACTTTCCGCCGCGCACTTTAATCTTGAAGCCCTACAACAGCTTCAAGGATTCATCGAGTTGAAACCCCAGGAACGAAATTCCGGCACGATTTGAATTGCCAGGACGCAACAGCCACGTTGCTTCGCGGTGGAATGGTACTGGCACGAGTGAGGACTCTCAGAAGGTTGTCTTCATCTGGAGCACTTCCCGCAATTGCATAAACTCTTCGAAGAACCTGTGAGGAAGGAACTTGGAGTGAGGATGCATTGCAACATCGTGGATGCGTTTTGGGTTTACTCTGGTCTTCCTTCTCCTCCTCTTCCGCCTCCTCCTTCTCCTCACCCTCCCCCCTCCCCCACCTCGGCTGTTGCCCCCTCGGAAGTGGCACACGCCCGGAAGATGTAAGCTGCGACACGCGCCCTCGAGAAGGACCGAAGCGAACCTCCCCCCTCCCCACGTCCTTGAATCGTTGCCATCCCGGGTGATCTCGCGCGGCCTGAAACATCCCGACCCCATCCGCAGGTGTAGTTCACGTCCAGCGCCCATGTTTGACGGCCCTAGGACCCGAAGTCAAAGAAAAAAGCCAAAACTAGAGAAACAAAAAAAAAAAAAAACGAATTGTCGGAAATACAGGCTCTCGTCCGACTTCGCCGCCCGTCGTTCGCTGCCATCCCGGCTGACACATCCTCCCCCGCATCCCTCCCCCCTATCCCCCCCATTACCATTATTAGAGTAGCAGAATTATTACTATTACTATTAATAAAAGTGGTAGTACTATGAATATGATTATGATGTTTGTGTTGACCCTCTTCCACCCCCTCCTCCTCCTCCTCCTCCTCCTGATCCTCCTCTTCCTCCTCTTCCTCCTCCTCCGCCTTTTCCTCCTCCTCCTCCTCCTCCTCCCCTCCTCCTCCTCCTCCTCTTCCTCCCTCCTCCTCCTCCTCCTCCTCCTCCTCCTCCTCCTCCTCCTCTCCTCCTCCCCCTCCCCCTCCCCCTTCCCCTCCTCCTCCCACTCCTCCTCCTCCCCTCCTCCTCCTCCTTCTCCTCCTCCTCCTCCTCCTCCTCCTCCTCCTCCTCCTCCTCCATCCGCCCCTCCGAAAAAGACTGGAATCTGGAGGTTGGAACACTAACAACATCAAACAGACAAAAACGGGAGGAACACGGAAAAACATTGAAAAACATGGGGAAACGTCAAGTAGCTAGGATAGGAAGGAGGTTGCAACAGTAACATCCCAGAGGTTCAGGCATCCTACTTCTGAACTTCCCTCACCATGCAAAGGAAAATAGTAATATCGAAAATGGAAACAAACAGAAGGAAGCAACAAAAAACACCGAGAAGCAGCGACTAACAGAGATAAAGAAAGAGGTCGGGACACAGACATCCAGAGGTTAGGGTTTCCTGTTTCGGAGCTTCCCGCCCCGACTCAGGGAAAATAAAACAAACATGAGAAATAATAATACCGACAGAAGCAAGCCAAGAGAAACCACGAGAAAAAAAGAGAGATGGAGAAGGTTGCAACACTAACCTCCAGAGGTTAGGGCTTCCTACTTCAGGAAGTCCCACCTCATGCAAAGCAAATTAGACAAACAGAAGGAAACAGAGACATACTAAAGGAGTCATGAGGCAAATCGAAGCAAACAGCAACTAAGTGATATGAAGAACGAGGTCGGAACACGAACCTCCGGAGGGAAGCGTTCCCTATTTCGGAATATCGCTTTCCAGACGAAGCTAAATACAGACACACAGACAGAGCAAAACCAGAAGGAGACAATACAAGAAAGCGGCGGGTGCTTCGTGGTGACTGAGACCTGGGGAAACGCGCTGATGCGCTCGGCGCCGAAGGCTTCGTGGCAATGCCAAACCGTGCGAGACGCCGGCGCTGAAGGCTTCGCTGCACTTTGAACCCCTCGTGGAACTCGCGGGTGCGCTCGGCGCCGCGGGTTGCGAGGCTCTGTGGCGCCATGCAACACGCGCGGCTGTGCTCGGCGCCGGAGGTTTCGTGGCACTTTGAATCATCGTGATACTCTGTGAAACGCGTTACTGGGCTCGGCGTTTTGAGACCGTGTGGAATTCATGGATGAGCTCGTCGCTGAGGGCTTCGGGACACTTCGACACCGCTTGAGGCCGCCGTCGGGGTTCACTGGTTGTGAAGAATTGTGGCATGTGTGCAGATGTTGGCACCTATTCGGCACCCGCGCGCTTGAATCTAAAAGTAGGGCTCGGAGACTTTCAAAGTGTTTCGAGCGCGGAGGGGCCGCCCCCCAGGCGCGCCAAGCGTCGAAGAAACTTGGTCACGTATTCGGCCCGCGTCGGCTCGTGGTGCGCGCAGCGCCCGATGTGATTGCACGAGGCTGTCTTGGATATGACACGCACGCAAACTCTACCCAATCAAAAGTGCACACGTCGAGTTCCAATGCTTCCGCAACCGTATTCAATTAGATTCCCATGTCTGTTTGGCTTCCCATATTCCACGATGTTTTCAGATCACGCTCCCAGATGTGCTTCACTCGCTCCACTTTTATGTTGCACGACGGTTCCTTCGGCATGGGTAGATTTCCAAATTGGAAACCCTAAGATGGGGAGTTTAGTGCTCCAACCTCCGTGTTTATCTTTGCTTTTCTATGTTTCCTTGTGTCTCCCTCTCTTGCCAGTTGTTCGCTTGTGGTCCTTCATGCTTGGTGTAGCTTCATTTCGCGATAGCTCCGGGGCGCAAACCTCTGGAGGCTAGTGTTCCAAACTTCCGATCCCAGGGTCTACGCCTCCCCTCCTCCTCCCCCTCCCTTCTGGTTCTGGTTCTGGTCCTGGTTCTGGAAACCCCGAGTGGGGAGTTCGGCCTGCTCTGGGCTAAGCAGGTCCTCGTACATTCCCCCCGAACGGCAGCGAGTGCTGTGCTCAGCTTCTCCTCCTCCCGCCCCGAATGGCCGGGCTGCGCGTGCGTCAGGGCGCCAGTCGTCGGCTGGGCAAGTGCTGCTCGGCCCAGTCCCCTTTGGGCACGCCCTCTCGAATGCGCATGCCCCCCCGCTCCTCCTCCCCCACCTGGTCCCCCCCCCCCTCGCTGCTGTGCGCCCCCTGCCCCCTCCCCGCCGGCTGTGGGTGCCGGCGCCCATCCGCGGCGGGCCCGCCGTGCTCCAGGAAGGCGGCCGCACGCCGCTGCCGCCAGGCGCCGTAGGGCTCCGCGCACGGCACACTGAGGAGGGGCGAGGAAGAGGAGGGGGAGGACGAGGAGGAGGACGAGGAGGAGGACGAGGAGGAGGATAAGGAGGAGGGGCGAGGGGGCAGAGGGTGAAGGAGGAGGAGGAGGAAGAGGAGGAGGAGGACGACGACGACGACGACAGAGACGACGACGACGACGACGACGACGACGACGACGACGACGACGACGAGGAGCGAGGAGAAGGAGGAGGTGGAGGAGGAGGAAGAAGAAGAAGAGCAAGGAGGAGGAGAAGGCGGAGGAGGAGGAGAACGAAAAGCGAGGAAGAGGAGGAGGAGGAGGAGGAGATGGGGCGAGGAGAGGGGGGATGGAGAGGAGGAGGAAGAGAATAAGGGGCGAGGGGGGCAGGAGGAGGAGGAGGAGGAGGAGGACGACGAGGAGGAGGAGGAGGAGGAGGAAGAGGAGGAGGAGGAGAGGATCAGCGCAAAACCAAGACCCATCAACGATGTTGGAATATACCCTCCCCCCAAGCTCCCTCGCCATTCGCCTCTACACAGATCCATTTCCACTGAAGGAAGTGCCCCATTGAGAGGCAACCGTCTGATGATCCTGAAGCATGCCAGAACACCTTTCGCACGACTTCAACGCCACCTTTCGCATGACTTCAACGCCACGAGTCAACCCGACGGTTGCGTTTTGACGATCCTGGACTGCGCCAGAACACAATTCCTGAGATTTCAACACCATGAATCAACGTAATTGTTGCACCTTGACATGCTGAATCGCTCCTAAGCACCATCTTTGTTTCGTTGATAATGAGATCATTGCAAGCATTGCAACGTCTTTCGACGAATGCGCGCGGCGCTAAGGCGAAAGCCACAATTTGAAAAGGAACCGGTCTAAATCTGGGAATGGGTTCCAATTGTTCGAAGCGAGTGTGCACGGCACGAACTGCTTTCAATCCGCGGCAAACAAAAACAAAACAACAAAATGTAAAATAAAAAACGAATGTGCGCGACGCTAAAGCGAGAACCACACGTTAACCAAACCGTCTACAATCCGTGAAACTCCCTCAACTGTTTTAAACGAACATGCGCGGCGCTAACGCGGAAGCCATTTTGTGAAAACCGCCGCCCTCCATCTGTGAAACTGTTGCCAGCTTTGAAGCTTGAGGCTGGAAAATGATAAGCAAGTATCGGGCGAAACGCCCGGCCCGCCCTTCCGACTAGCCTCTGGGCGCGGCAACGAGGAGTTATTCATAAGGGAAAAAGAACGGAGGAGGAGGAGGAGGAGGAGGAGGAGGAGGAGGAGGATATGGAGAAGGAGGAAGAAGAGGAGGAGGAGAATGGGCGAGGAGGAGGAAGAAGAGGAGGAGGAGAGAAGGAGGAGGAGAGAAGGAGGAGGAGAAAGGAGGAGGAGCAGGAAGAGGAGGAGAAGGAGGAAGAGGAGGAGGACGGTAGGGGGGGCGAGGACGCCGACGACCGAGAAAGCTTCGACCGAACTCGACACGCAGGGGAGGGCGGCCACGCTGAGACGAGGCCCGGGTCGGCCCTCCCTGGCCCGACCCAGGGCTGCCGCGTCGGACCCGCCGAGGCCGAGCAGCGCGAGCCGCGCTCCCCGTCCACCGACGGCCCCCGACACGGCGGGGGCGGGGGAGGCGCGGCGCGCGGGGGGGCCCTGGGAGGTCCCGGGAGGCCCCGGGCCCAGGCGGAGAGAAGGGGGCCCACTCGGCCCTCACTTCGAAGGAAGGGTGATGATGTTACAGCCTGCTTCAGCCTTGCTCACCAAAAAAAGTCAAGCGTCAAGAACCACCAAAGGTCTTCACGCGTCTGGCCCTGGGAAGCGATGCTCGTTCGGACCTGTTTCGATGCCTTTCTGGGTGCTCGAGATTATTTCTGGGATCTGGTCCTCAAGTGCGATGGGAGCAGCATAGTGGAAGGGGCCCGAACATAAACCATAGCGTGACCGTTCGGGCCGCGTTAGGCAGGGCACCGCCCCACGCGGAACACGCTGGGATAGAAGCCGCGCCCCCCCGAGGCCTGGGGCCTGGGGCGACGGCCACCTCGCTTCGTCGTGAAGCGGGCCCACGCAGCACGGCATACTGTCGTGGAAAGTGACCGCGCCAGCTTCGAAGACATCCCCATGCTCCAAGGAGCCGCCCGACTGCTGCCACACTCCGAGGTAAGGCGGGGCAGGGGGGTCCGAGAGCATAAAGGCTCAGCAGCTCGGCCAGGCTGGGACGGATCCCGGGTCTCCTCTGACGCCGCCTTCCCCCCTCCAGGAACAGGCATGGGGAGGCCAGCGATAGCGCCCAGAACCACAAAGCTCAGCCACTCGAGGCCACATGATCGCTCATCGAGAGGTCGCGGCATTCAACCTGCCGAGACCCGCAGAAGCTGCCCAGTCTGGCAGCAAGTTCCCAGCATCCTCTGATCATTCAAAGGTCGCCCGTGGCCAAGCAGAAGGGCGACGCTCCTTGCTGATCCGGGCGGTCCGCCTCCGAATTGCCAAACCACTGAAGTTATGATGTCTTGCCCTCCCCGACATCCACCGCGGACGTGTGGACAGGGACCTTGGCTATACATCGCACCCTCGAGACGTTCTCCGACCTCGGCCCGCGCATGGGCCCTAGCCGATCTGGTGCTCGCGGTCTCCGAGGGATTTCCGAAGACAGTCCCCAATGCCAACACAGTCGACATAGATGGTCACCCCGGGGCCGAGAACTGCACGTCTCGAGAGCATTCGGCAAAAGATTATCCGTCACGGGCCTGCTGCCGAGGTCCTTCCATGCGCGGGACAACTCCACACAGGGCGTCTGGGTCCTGCCTCTGCTGCCCAGGACTACGACTGACCAACCCGCAATTCTAAGGCTAAGGAGGTCTCCGTCAAACCCCGAGGCGTCCGTGAAAATGCAAGCCCCTTCGGGGACGCACAACGACCCGCCCAGGAGCCACTGGAAGCGCCGATAGCACGGACCCGGGAGGTCCGCGGGAGGGCATTTGACCCAGGACGCGGGCCCCGGGAGAACACACCTGCCAAAGAGCTGGCCAGCAGGAGCCAGGAGATGACCAACCCGCTGAGCCGCCCGAGCCACCGACGAATCCAAGTGCTCACGACGCCGCGCATCGAACCCACAGCATTTTGGCAGCAGCAGCAGCAGGCGGTGGCCGTGAAAGCGCGGCACGAGGCCCGCCGGGGCAGCCCAGGGGCCCCGCGGCCCCAGGTCGCCCGACCCCTCCCCGGCCGCGCTTCGTCCCAGGCCTGGTCACCTGGCCTCGGGAGCGTCAGAAAAGGACTCGGGACGAAAACCTGGCCCCAGGGAGATGGTCCGGACCTCCGGAGCGGCCGGATGTCTGGGACCGCACCCATTTCGGCACACCCCTCACACGTCTCGTGGCCCCATAAATGGGCTCCCCTGGAGGCCCTAGTGACAGGGTTCGCACGGCGCCACCGCAACCCTTTCGGCACACCCCTCACGCGCTTCGTGGCCCCATAGGGAGCTCCACCGGAGGCCCCAGTGGGCCCCCGAGGGACGAAATCCAAGGACAACACTCGGAGTGGACAGATCATACCGTCGGAGATCTGGGTCGGCCCCGAGATACGGCAGGACCTGGGCCAGAAGAACATCCCTCAAGAACACGAGGCCCTCCGTCGGCCAGGAGGAGCAAAACGTCGAAGGTCACCCTCCCCACGATGCACCGGAACATCCAGCAGGCACGAAGAACACGAGGGCACCCTCCCCGAACCGACCTCAATCGTACACCTCGACCCGACAAGCCCGAGGGCCTCAGGAACGCCTCAGCAGAATTCCGCCGCGGAGGAGGAGGAGGAGGAGGAGGAGGAGGAGGACTGCCTGCAGAAGAATCTCTGGGGGCTTCCACCGGGCGCCTGCCGGATCCCGCGGGCACAGCCATCGCAGACTTCCGCCTGCGAGGCTCGAGCTCGACGACGGCCAGCATACCTCTCGTCCCTCCGCACGCCTCGCCCCTCCCTTCTTCGGCCCTCCTCCCTGTGAGGGAGGGGGAGGGAGGTACTGGTCCTGTGTCGTTTCTGGGCCTCGGACTGCTCCTTGAAGGGGACTCCACCTCCCGAACGGGACGAGTATCTTTGCTCAGCTTTGAAAAATCGACGAAGTACTGCCGAATCGGCAGTAAACGTAAGAGAGAGAGAGAGAGCGAGAGAGAGAGAGAGAGAGCAAAAGAGAGAGCGAAGAAAGAGAGACAGAAAGAACGAGAGTGAGAGAGAGAGAGAGAGAAAACCAACACAACAAAGACTTTACGCAAGCTACCACGAGAGGCGCAGGCGACGCAGGAGGAGGTTGACAAACACATAGCGCGGGAGACCGAACCCGACCGCAGATCGGACCTGCCCACCACCGCACCTCCCAACCGCAGAGCGCGTGACCGCAGCTCGAAGAGCAACCCCCCCCCCGCGGACTCGACTTATCCAATGCCCCAAACGCTTCCTGCTGCGGCTCGCCGCCCCCTGTGCACCTGGCCCGAGCAGGACGCCCCGTCCGAATTGATACGAATCACTTCTCGTCGTCATCGCTGCCGAGGAGAAGCACGGAGAGGATGCAAGAGATCACGAGAACCGGGTCCACGCCGGGCAGCACCCGGAACTCGATCTGCTCCACGCCCGCGGCGGAGGCCGCCTCGCTGCAGGAGATGGCCGCCATGGGCCGCCCGTCACACGAGAATATGCGGAGATCCAGGTTGACTTCGTTCCTGAGGGGCAACGACAGGTGGGGGACTGGCATAAGATTAGGTCGGGCGTGTCCCCCGACAGGCGGATGTTGGAGGAAAAATAAGGAATAGTCAAAAGGTACTCAAGTATTTCCGAAAATAGTCGAGATTCAATCGTCCACGGAATATGATTTGACTATTTTTGAATACTCCTCCTGTAGAGGGACGTGCCCGACTTAAGCATAGGGGGGGGGATGCATCGACATGGAATCGGCGATGCATCGCCGATAGATCGGCGATAGGCCCCCGATGATGAATCCGCACCCTGCTGCGCAGGCTGGGGCTATCTGGCCCCTCTCGGCGATCAATGGGCGATTGGGGGTCGATGCATCCCCACTATGCCTGTCCCCTCCCCCCATCGTTGCCCCCGAGCTCCCCTCGATGACGAGCAGCTGCCGCTGATCGGCCGTGACCACGACGAAGGAGCCGTTCGGCTGCAGCACCAGCCTGCCGAAGAGCTGGCCAGTGGCGTTCAGGATCTGCAGGCCGGGGCTGCTCGCCGGGCACACAGTCATGGAAGGGATCGTCGAGCCCTCGCCGACGAAGATCCGCAGGCTTCGAAGGCTGTCCTTGCTCTCTTCGATGGCCACGCGCCACATCGTCTTGCTGGTCGCGTCCGTAATAGAGAACGTGCCCCCTCCAGCCGATTCCACTAGCGTGTCCACCGGCACAACGAAGTTGCAGTCTCCGTGAGCGGCAACTGGAAAGACGCCATCGGCAAATGACTTACGGTTGTTCCCGTCAAAACTGAGACTGAGATTGCTCTGACTCTCGATCGGGTTCTGGCCTGGATGCTGGGAAGAAACTCGCTGCACCATCGCCAAGCTCGGGGGACGCTGCCCCCTTGCACCGTCAATCCCGAAGCTCGTGGAGCTTCGTTCGATCATCCTTGCACCTGGCACGGAGATCGTACTGGCACTCCTCCCGCAGATCCTGTCCGACAGCTGCCTGCCAGCAGGCTTGATGGAGCCGAAAGAGTGGACGGAGCACTCCGAGCGCATGGACATACTCGGAGTCGACAGCATGGTGACAGTCCTGGTCGGTTTGTTCACTTTCGGCTTCTCCTTCGATGGCTCGGGGGTGTGCAGCTTGCTCACGAGGACGCACATGACGACGGAAAGCACCACGAGCAGGAAGGCCGCAAAGCAGATCAGCGCGAAGTTCGCCGACCCGCGCCCGACATGGGACCGGTGCTCCTGCTCCAGGGTCCTTAGGAGGAATAGGAACGGCATAAACATACACTTTTGGCACTCCGCGCGGAGTTCTTGGATCCGCGCTGGACCCCCCTCCCTGGGGCGCGGAGCGCGCCAGGGGCGGCGCTGGAGGCGCCGCCGGGGGGGCCTAGCGCGGATCCAAGAAATCCACGCGGAGCGCCAAAAGTTTATGTTTTCATGCTTATGCCGTTGCTTATTCTTCGAGTCCTGGTGTGATTGGCAGGAGGCACCGCCGCGGCGGCGACCGCCTCCAGGCTCAGGGCATCTGCCGAAGGGGCTTCGCCCGTGCCCCAGGGTCTGGGCTGCGGCTCCACGCGCAAGAAGCTCTGGAGCAGTGCCACGTCGCCGACGCAAGTGCCTTTGGCAGGTGGCCGCCCTCGTGGCACGGGCGTGCAGGGATACCCTCCGCCCAGGGCGCACCGTGGGCAACTGATGACCAGCAGCGTTCCGACGCAAAGCCAGGCATGAGTGCTGCAGAACATTGGTGAAGGGTAGTGCTAATAGGTACAGAATGTGTAGAGGTCGGTCTATAGATAGAGAAATGAAGTGACTTGTCAAGTTAGGGTCTGGGCTGGGCCTTGGCGAGCAGTCATGAAAACTGTCCGTCCAAGATAATGCCGCCACCTTGATCCGAAAGTGTTGCCAACAAGACGTTATAGAAAGACTCCGGAACCCTGCGTTCGACGGTAGGGCCACGCCCGTAATGTATGCCCACTCTAGGTAGTGCGGTCGGGCGTCTGATCTCGGTGAAATTCCACATTTCCTAAGGTGGGCTTATTGTTACCACTTCAACCCCTCCCACCCATCAAGGAGAACCCTCCTCACCCACATACTCTGATGCTCCTCTGAGCATCTCACTCATGCTCATACTCACTCATTACCAGACTCACTCACACTCAGACTCGCTCACACCCACGCTCAATCATACAGCCGCTCACCTTCATCCCTCCTCTTCCTCACCCAGGCTCACTCAGCACACTCAGACTCACTCACACTCACACTCAGGCTCGCTCCTCTTCCTCACTCAGCCTAACTCATACTCAGAATGATTCTCACATACACGCACACAGACGTGTAAGTCAGCGGCGCGGAGAAGCCGCAGGCGCGGTCCACAGATGTACGTGTGAATTACGACCGAACTGAGTCGGAACGCGCAGTGAAGGATAACACGCACACACTCACACACACACACACACACACACCACACACGCGAACAGACTGTGAGGACGTCTAAGGCGAGGCGCTGGCTTCAGCACCCGAAGGGGGAGCCGCCAGGAGATATTTCACGGGCCCGTCCATGCCCGGATTGTGGGGATGTCTCAAGCGGTTTGCTTGTGTCGGCGACCCCGAGTCCTCTGCTGTCAAAGCAGATTGCGAGGATGTTTCAGACGAGGCGCTGGATTCAGCACTCCCATGGGGGGAGCAAGGGCCACTCCGCACCCACATTGCGGGGATATCCAACGGTTTGCCTGTTTCGGCGTCCCAGACTTCTCTCTTTTGGTGGTCCACTGCACACCGCGATATGGCAGGCGTGGCACTTGGGCACCCCAAAGGGGGCAGCCGCAAAGGGGTGCTGCAAGGGCCCGTTCGCGCCCAGGTTGCGGGGATGTCTCAGTTGCGGGGATGTCTCAGAAGGTTTGCCTTGCTCGGCACCCCAGACTTCTCCAGTTTTTTACGGTCCACTGCTCACATCGAAATGGCATGCTTGGCACTTGGGCACCCCAAGGGGGAGGCGCCAGGGGGTGTTGCACGGGCCCAGAGGCCAGATTGTGGGAATGTCTCCAGCGTTTTGCTTCTGTCGGCCCCCCGAACTCTCTTTTGGTGTCATCCACTCCTCATCACAACATAGCAGACGTGGCACTCGGCACCCCAAGGGGGAGCCGCGAGAGGGGGTGTTGCACGGGCCCGATCGAGCCGAGATTGCGGGGAGGTGCTCGTGCGTTTTGCTGCTTTTCTGCCCCACCAGACTGATCTCTTTTGGTGGTCCCCTGCTCACTGAGGGGAGCCGCCAGGGATGGGGTCCAGGAGGTGCTTGAATGTCTCAAGCGGTTTGCACGCTTCGGCCCTCCAGGTTTCTCCGCGGACGTGTGTTACTAAGACGCCTCCAGACCTCACTCACTCACTCACTCACTCACTCACTCACTCACTCACTCACTCACCTCCTCTTCTTCCCGTCTCAGACGCATTTACTCTGAGATTTACTCACAAGGAACTCTTCCACACTCACTCTCCCCCATCACACTCAGAGTCGAACGTGCTCAAGCTCACTCACAGTCAGACTCACTCAGATTTAGACTCTCTCACAGTCAGACTCGCTCACACTCATGCTCACTCACACTCAGACGAACCCGAACTCTGCTTTGAGCACACTCAAGTTCACGCACCCTCGGAAAAAAAACAGGCATGAACATGATTTCTCGGAGCTCCGCCCAGATTTCTCGGATCGGTGCTGGACTCCCCTTCCCTTGGCGCTCGGAGCGGCGCGCGGCCCCAGCGCCGATGCAAAAAAAAACGCGCGGAGCTCCGAGAAAACACGTTCATGCACTTTGTCGCCTTTCTATCCGACGACGCGGGAGGATTGAAGCATCGTCAAACATCATAATCTGACTACCTACCAGACCACCCCAACCCAACCCGAAGACCCGAATTTCGGGTTGGGGGGGGCAAGGGTTCCACGCGTGTTTTTTCGATGTTTCCCGACCCCCCCCCCACTAGAAATCGAGGGTAAATCTGAGCCTTCGGGTTGGGTTGGGGTGGTTTGGTGGGTGGTGGTAACCGGAGCCCTGGACCCCACTCTTTCTGCAGCATGTTTTTCGAGTAGGCTCGATCTGTGGGGCCCGGGGGCCAGGGACCTGGCGGCATCGCCATGTGCAAAAATGCGACGCCAGGACCAGAGGGTCGGGCCGCGGAAGACGCGCTCCCCGCTTTCGACGATCGATTACACGCCAGAGCGACCTGGGTGAGGGTGCGCTTTGGCGCGCGGCTCTTGGGGGGCGCGAGGGGTCCAAAATCTAGCGCGCAGGCCACTGCGATCGCATCGCGTTCGGCGATCGGGCTGGCCCACTGGGCCCGCACGAAAGGTCAATCTGGCAGAGGGCCATTCCCACGCGTAGTCGAGACGAGCCCGGCGCGCCCCGCCCCAGAGCGCCGAGGCGGACCGGCCCGAGGCAGGGGCCGCCTGCCGCCTCCGAGCAAGCCGGCGCGGCCCAGGTGGCGGCCTCTCCTGCGGCGCCGGAAGCACCGTACGGCCCATCCTGCCTCCTGCTGCTGCTCCCGCCATAGGCTTGGATATTTGTCTGAGCGCAACCATGCCCCCCCCCACAGGGGGCCATTGCCCATGGAGGCAAGATCAGGCCTGCTCCTCCTCCTCCTCCTCCTCCTCCTCATCCTCCTCTTCTTCCTGCTCCTCCTCCTCCTCCTCCTCCTCGTCCTCTTCTTCCTGCTCTTTCACTTTTCTTGGTAGTATTACTATTGTTTGTTGTTCTTCTTCGCGTTATTAAGGTGATCATTTTGGTTACTTTTACGATAGAACTAATAGTAAAAGCCATCGTCATACGATTACGACTACTAGTGTCACCAATAAAAAATCTGCTATTAGTTCAACTTAAAAACAGTAGTAGCATTGAAATTAGCGCATTCAATACTTCTGAAACTTCGGTTAACAGTTTTAAGACTCCTGATATTAGACTCATTGCTGATAGTACGATCAAAACAACTACTTGTCGTATGGGTATGATCACTGATACTAGACATACTAGAATTACGAGTGATGGTATCAAGAAAACTGTGATTTGTGATATTAGCGAGTAAAACCAGTAACAGTACAAGTAGTAGTAGCAGTAGTAGTCGCCGTCGTAGTAGTAGTAGTGGTGGAAGTAGTAGAAGTAGTAGAAGTAGTACTAGTGGTAGTGGTGTTAGTATTCGCAATGGAATTAGTACTACTGCGATTCATGATGAGCCTGTCATGCTTAGTAACAGTATTACTGGTAGTACTGTTATGACTTATTGGCAATGTGGATATTGCTAGCATTATCTTTTTTCTCTGGAAAGCAGGGGTCGTACTATCTTTATTCGTGGTGCTACTACTACTACTACTACCACTACTACTACTACTGCTGCTGCTGCTACTACTACTACTACTACTACTACTACTACGACTACTACTCCTACCACTACTACTAATACTACTACTACTACTACTACTACTACTACTACTAATACTACTACTACTACTACTACTACTACTACTATTACTACTACTACTACTACTACTACGACTACTACTACTACTACTACTACTACTACTACTACCACTACTACTACTACTACTACTACTACTACTACTTACTACTACGTTTAGGACCACGGCTACGGCTACGACTGCGACTACTTCAACTACAGTTACGACTACTACGACTACCTCAACTACAGTTACGACTACTACGACTACTGATATTACTACCATTACTACTAATATTATTATTACTACTACTACTAATACTACTCCTACCACTACCACTACTACTACTACTACTACTACTACTACTACTACTACTACTACTACGACTACTCCTACTACTACTACTACTACTACTACTAATACTAATACTACTTCTACTCTACGGCTACCACTACTACTACTACTACTACTACTACTACTACTACTACTACAACTACTACTACTACTACTACTACTACTACGACGACTACTACTACTACTACTATTACTACTACTACTACTACTACTACTACTACTACCAACACTACTATTACTACTACTACTACTACTACTACTACGTTACTACTACTACTACTACTACTACTACTACTACTACTACTACTACTACTACTGATACGACTACTGCTACTACTACTACTACTAATACTACTACTACTACTACTACTACTACTACTACTACTACTACCACTACTACGACTGCGGACACGTGCACCACATCACCACGGCTCAACCGCCTTGGGATGAGCGCCCTTGTGGCTGCCTCATTTCCAGTATATAGCGAGCACCTCTTCTGGGTGAAATGGCGGGTCTGACGCGCGTGCAGCGGCGGGCGCTTATCCGAGGGCAACTGGTCCCTACGGCCCAGAGTAAAGCGACAGCGGCGGCACATCGAGGCCAACGAGCGCAAGTAGGCGCGAGAAGAGGCCAGGATGGCAAGCCAAAATGGCTAGGCGCACAGTTGACCGCGCGAGGAACGAAGAACTAAGCAACGGGGCCCGCGGTGCGAGGGGGGGCACCACTGTGGGCGCACCCGCGCAAGCGAGCACACAAGCGCAGCATCATAGAGAGTGGCAGGCTCGGAATCTTAACACAGGAACTCACATGGCCCCCCCGCGGGCTCAGAGGTCAACGATGCTGGGGGCCTGCAGAGTCTCAGCGCCCAGGCGGACTGGCCTGTCCCCTGCGCAATGGCTGCGAAGACCTGCGACGGCAGCGCCTGCACCTCTCCCCCGAGATCACCAC